CTCGCCTCTCACTCCTCCCTCTCCCCTCCTCTCCTCCCTCCCTCCCTCTCCTCTCCCTCTCCTCCCCCTCCTCCCTCCGAGTCAGAAATGGATCAGGTTAGTTTTTTTTACTTCAAAGGGGGTGGGCACGGGTAAGGGGGGGGGCATGAAGGACCACGATCGAGCAGAAGGGGGGGGGGCACGGTCGATCGGCCGGAATGAACAGATAAAGAAAAAGAAGGTGGGGCCAGGGGAAGGTGGGAGTCACGGTCGTGCAGGGGGGGCAAACGGTCGGTGGTCGGAATAAAACAGAAGGGGGGGGGGGCGACGGGGGGAAAGGGGGGGGGCACGGGGGAACCGATCGGTTCGGGTACGGAATAACAGACGGGGGGGGACAGGGGAGGGGCGCGGGGGGGGCCACGGACGGGTTGGGGTGGCGCACGGTCTGCCGGTCGGAATAAGGGGAGCACGGAAGGCCACGGTCGGGCAGGGGGGGCACGGTCGGTCTGTCGGTAGGAGCAGACGGATGGGGGGGGAGGAGACACGGGCGGGCAGAGGGGGGCACGGGGGGCTACAGTCGGGCAGGGGGGGGGGGCACGGTCGGTCGGTCGGGCCAAGCAGAGGGGGGGTGGGAGTGGCTGCGGATGGGCCAGGGGTCGAGCAATGGGGGGGGCACAAGATGGGCCGGTTCGGACTCAGCAGAGGGATAGTGGGCACGGAGGGAAGGGGGGGGGCGGCGGGGAGCCATGGTCGGGCAGAGGGGGGTGGGGAGGGCACGGTCAGCCGGCCGGAATGAGCATACTTAGAGGGGGGGAAGGCAAGCAGAAGGGTGGGAGGCACGGAGCGCCACGGTCCGACATGGGGGGGGGGCGGTCGTTCAGCTGGAGAAAGCCAAGGGCGGGGACCACGGGGGGAAGGTGGGTGCACGAGGGGCCACGGGCAAGCAGGGAGAGAGGGCACGGTCGGCCGGTCGGAAGAAACAGAGGTGGAGCACGAAAGGGGGGGAGCACGGGGGCCACGGTCGGGCAGGGGGGTGGGCACGGTCGGTCAGGGGATGGCACGGGAGGAGGGGGGGAGGCACGGGTGGCCACGGTCGGCAGAGGGGGGGGGGCACGGGGCCGGTCGGCCGGAGCAATCAGAGGGGGGGGGGCACTGGGGAAAGGAAGTGGGGGGCACGGTCGGTCGGCTGGAGCAAGCAGAGGAGGGCCACGGGGGGAAGGGCGGGGGCACGAGGGGCCACGGACGGGCAGCGGAGGGAGGAGGGCACGGTCGGCCGGTCGGAATAAGCAGAGGAGGAGCCAGGGGGGAAGGGGGAGGGAGGATACGGGGGCGGACGCGGTCGGGCAAGGGGGGGAGAGCACGGGTGGTCCGCCGGAATCAACGAAGGGGGGGCACGGGAGGAAGGGGGGGCAAGGGGGGCCACGGTCGGGCAGAGGAGGGGGCACGGTCGGTCACCGACACATCCCAGCACCGAGCGCACCGCAGCAGTGCACCGACTCACCCCAGCACGCATCCCAGCACACCCAGGGTTGCCACGGCCAGCACGTATCGCGACACATCACAGCACGCCCATACATCCCAGCACACCCAGCACACATTCCAGCACAGAATTATCCCAGCACGTGTCCCAGCACACAGAGGCAGCACACGTCCCAGCACACCGAAAGAGTACACCCACAAAGGCCAGCACCGAGCACACTGAGCAAACATCCTAGCACACCCCGGGAGGCCACGGCCAGCACATATCGAAGCACACCGAGGCAAGCACACACTACGGCATACGGAGGCAGCACAATCCAGCACACATCTTGGCGCACCTCCACACATGCCAGCACCCCAGCGCACATGCAGGGGGGCCACGGCCAGCACATATCGAAGCACACAGAGGCAATCACACATTCCAGCACACGGAGGCAGCACAAGCCCAGCACACATCTTGGTACACTTCCACACATCCCAGCACCCCCGGCGTACATCCGAGTACGGTCACACATCTCAGCACGCGGATCCGAGCACACCGAAGCAATACACGGACACAGCCCAGCACCGAGAACACCGAGGCAGTATCCCAGCACCGAGCACACTGAGGCAGTACACCGACACATCCCAGCATGCAGCCTGGCCCAGCACACCGAGGCAGTCACGCATCCCAGCACACGGAGCCCAACACATATCCCAGGCACGGTCGGCAGGTCGAAATAAGACAGTGCGAGATCACACCAATAAGTATGAAAAAAAACTGTGATTGTTGATCACACCTCCGGTAGCACTCTGCTTTTCAATGAAAATGCTTCTCCCGGTGCTCGCATCCTGTTTTGTACCCTGGCCACCAGTTTACAACAACAACGGATCCCGCCTGGCACTTTCTCGCAATGAGTTCCCCAATCGCGCTCTCGCGCGGGACGTCCTCACAATTTATCCGGAATCAAGAATCACGCTCTCGCTCTGGATTTCCTCACGATTCATTTGAAAATCGCGCTATCGCTCGAAATTTCCTTTCGACCCATGCAGGACAAATGCTTCGGCAGTACACCGCTAAGGGCGAAAACGAAGAGGGCCGGTATCGAGGGTTTGGTATATACGTCTTGAGTGGGACGCGAGCAGATAAGAGCGAACAGTCTTAAAACGATTGATGTTGCTGTTGTTGGTGTTGAGTTATCATGTCTAGAGAATAAGTATTGTTGATCCCCCTGCCCAGTAGAACCATTGCATGTTTCAATCGAGGTGTTTGTCCAAGGGCCCCCACCCTATTCCTTTACAAAGGAAAGAGAGGGTCACCAAACAGCGTGGTTGGGCCCCAGACTACAACAGCAACAAGGAAAACGACTCCCGCTGGATACTTCCTCACAACGTATTCCCACATCGCGCTCTCGCGCGGGACATCGTCTCAATCTTAAATACCAGAATCGCGCTTTCGCATGGGACGTCCCCGCGATGCATTCAGACGACGGGCCCTCGACACTCAGGAATCACGCTCTCGCTGCGGATGTCCTCACGATGTGTTTGGGAATCGTGCTATCGCCCGAAACTTCCTCGCGATTCATGCAGGACGTACGCTCCAGCAGCCCGCCCTGCTTGACTTGGCCGCCTGGGCCCGCCTTCCCAAACCCGCCCGTTAGGGTCTACCCGCCCGATCTGCCCGTCTGGTTCTGCCACGTGCTTTCTGCACCAAGCCCCATTCCTTTGATATTATTTTGTTAATATTACTATATATATCCCTCTTCTCTCTCTCTTTCTCTCTCTCTCTCTGTCTCTCTCTCTCTCTCTCTGTCTCTCTCTCTCTCTCTTTCTCTTTCTCTCTCTCTTTCTCTCTCTCTCTCTCTCTCTCTTTCTCTCTCTCTCTCTCTCTCTCTCGCTCTCTCTCTCTCTCTCTCTCTCTCTCTCTCTCTCTCTCTCTCTATATATATATAAAGATACATCGTGTTCCTTCCTCCTCCCTCCCCCTTTTGCTATTTCCTTCCATCCGTCCCCCCCGAAGTACACATTGCAGGTAGAACAACAGATACCCCCAACGGGGCACGTTCATAGACGAAGAGGGCGGGTATCGAGGGTTCGGGATATACGTTGTTCAGTGGCCCGCGAGCTAGCTAAGGCGAGCGAGTATTCAAATAGTTAAATGGTGTTGTTGGTGTTGCTCTTGTTTGGTAGTGGTGTTGATGGTTGTTGGTGTTGTTTTGCTGTTGCTGTTTTGTTGCTGATGTTGCTGTTGTTGATCGAGGTGTTTGTCGATTGCTGTGTTGTTGTTGAAATATTCTTTCCAAAAAATAAAATTATTGTTTTTCCCCCTGGTGCCTGCCTGGTAACCATTGACCCCCTTTGCCCGGTAACCATTGTATGTACTAGATTGCTCGCACCCTCTGTTTTTTATCAGGGAAAGTGTGTGGTGTGGTCACCAAACACCGGCCATCGGGCCCCAGTTTGCAACAGCAGTAGCGGGTCCCCGCCGGATACCTACCACACAATGTAATTCCCAAATCGCTGTTTTCTGGCAACGGGAACTTCTCCTCACAATGATAATTCCCGTGTTGGGCTTTTCGCTTGGGACCTCCCGCACACTCAATTCAAACCCCGCCATCGACAGTCAAGAATCCCGCTCTCGCTGTGGATTTCGTGATTAATACACGGCGCACGCTGCTGCAGCAGACCCGCCCTGCCCTCGACCTGGCCGGCTTGTCCGCCTGCCGACCCGCCGTTTATGGTTTACCCCGCCCGATATGCCCGTCAGGGTCTGCCACGTGCTTTCTGCGACTAGCTCCCCCACATGTGGTGGGTTGTTTATCTCTCTCTCTCATTTGTTCCTTTGGTGTCTCTTCTCCGCCACACCTCTCTCTCTCTTTTTTTCTCTCTGTCTCTCTCTCTCTCTCTCCTCTTCTCTACAATCCTCTCTCTCTCTCTCTTCATCTCTCTCTCTCTCTCCTCCGTCTCTCTTCTCATCTCCTCTCTCTCTCGTCCTCTCTCTTTCTCTTCTAATATCTCTCTCTCTCTCTCTCTCTCTCTCTCTCTCTCTCTCTCTCTCTCTCGTGTTACATCCTCCTCCCTCCCCCGTGTTCCTTCCTTCCATCCGTTTTCTGCTCCCCTGCACGAGGGGCTGAGATATTCCAAACGGGGCACACCCGAAGACGAAGAGGGCGGGTATCAAGGCTTTGGGATATACGTGTTGAATGGCGCACGGGCAAATAAGCAGTCCTAAAAGGAGTGTCGCTGTCATTGTCGGTGGTGGTGGTGTTGGTGGTGGTGTTGGTGCTGGTGTTGGTATTGCTGCTGTTGGTGTTGTTGGTGTTGATGTTGTTGGTGCCGTTGTTGTTGGCGCTAATATTGTTGTGTGCGTTGTTGTTGGCCGTGTTGTTGCTGGATGATCCTTCCTGAAGAATGAGAACTGTGGACCCCCCTTTTTCCTGAAGAATGAGAACTGTGAACTCGCGCGGGACTTCCTCACAACGCATACAAGAATCGCGTTCTCGCGCGGGACTTCGTCGCAATTTACTCTCGACAATCAGGAAACACGCTCCCGCTGTGCATTTCTCATGATTTACTTGGGAACAGGAACAGGAACAGGCTATCACACGCAGTGGTTCGGGAATTAGTGGCCACGAGTGAGCTCATCAGCTTTACTGATAGCTTCCGGCCGCAACCCATCATCGATACGAGACAAACATTATCGGCGATGGGGGTCAAGTTTATGAGAACATGATTTCGACAGCTCACGCATAGAAACATGAGCATAGAAACCACAAGCCTGACAAAACCAAAGATTGTGGGCCCTCTGGATCCTCATCGAACGCACAGGAACCCGAGTACAGGACCACGTAGAGGCCGAACGCGAAGGAGAGGAGGCAGGGAAACTTCATAACATTTGCACCCTTTGCCGACCAGCACACGGCCTCCAGCCACACGATCTTCACTGCTGCGGGCTATTCTCGCCGGTAGGAGGGATGCTCCCCGTTGCAGTCCCCGTGGGCGTCGGCTGCACAGACTCTGCCACTGCGCCCCAGTCAATTTTTGGCCCCGTCTGCAACGCGGCCCGCCTCGGTCCTCGGAACACCTCCATGTCGCCGAGGAGCCGATCGCGCTCCGCGCTGCCTGCCCAGCTCGCCGCAGCGGCCAGCGGTTGGGCAGTCATCCCCCGCAGGGGCCCTGGGGCCGCGCCCTCGGCGCCAGCAGCTGACCCGTCCAGCGGCACGGCAGCGGTGCCCTCTCCGCCCTTCCGACAAGCATCCTCCCCGCCAGTGGACGTGACTTGGCCTTCCGCAGGGCAACGAACGGCGCCTCGAGCTTCGCGAATCACGTCGAGCTCGTTGCCATCCATCGGCTCGTCCGTCTCCGCCTCGGCTTGCATTGCGGCCTCTGTCACGGCCGTGGAGGGCTCTCCAGCTGTCGGCGGCGCTCCGCCGCAGCCGCCAGCCTCGCCGCCACCGCCAGACGCGGGCGCGCGCAAAGCCTCCAGTGCCTTGGCCATGGCCGCACCAAAGCGGGAGATTGCCGAGCCACGGTGGCTGGCGACCTCCGCGAAGGCGCCGAGGAGGCGCGCAGCAGCGCGGGCGTCCGCCCGGCGGTACTGGGCGCGTCTCCCGGCCGCCGTGCGGTTGGGCCGCCGACGCGGCGCCGCCGCCGCAGGTGCCTCCATCACGACGCTGGGGGAGGGGGAGGCGGAGGCAGGGCGAGGGGCCCCGTGGCGCGGCGCGCTATCGTTTGAGACTTCCTTGCGATTGTTGCAGGACGCACGTTTCAGCAACCCGCCTGCTCGACCTGGCCGCCTGGGCCCACCTTTTCGACCCGCCAGTTATGGTCTACCCGCCCTATCTGCCCGTCTGGCTCTGACACGGGCTGTCTGCTCCGAACCCCCTCCTGCTACTCTCTCTCTCTCTCGTTTTTTCTCTCTCTCTCTCTCTCTCTCTCTCTATCTCTAATTCTCTATATATCTTTCTCTCTCTCTCTCTCTCTCGTGCTCAATCCTCCTGCCTCCCCCATTGCCCGTTCCTTCCATCCGTTTTCTTCTCCCCTGCCTCAGGGGCTGCACGAAATACACATTGCAGGAAAAACATGTACCCCCGAGGGGGCACGATCGAAGACGATGAAGGAGAATATCGAAAGTTTGGGAGATACGTGTTGAGAGGCACGCGAGCAGATGATAGCGAACAAGATTAAAATGATTGGTGTCGTTGGTGCTGTTGCTTAGTTCTCTTAAGAAAGAGCTATTGCTGACCCCCCTGCCCAGTAACCATTCGACTTCTTCATGTAAAGAATTTCTCTCGGGGCTCGCACCCTTCTTGTTTACAAGGGGAAGCGAAGTGTCATCAAACTCGGCTGTAGGCCCCCAGTTTACAACAACAACCAATATTGATGAAACTAACAATGGTTAAAACCCGTTCGCTCGTATCTGCTCGACTTTCATTTAAGGTGTATGTCCCAAACCCTCGCTACCCACCCCCTTCGACCTCGATCATACCACTGTTGGGGGGTATTTCTTTGTGCCCTGCAGGCCGGCCCTGGCAAGCGGCGGGGCGGCCGCACACCGTCGGCCTGGCCAGCGGCAGCGCTGAGAGACGGACAGAGGACCGACCAAGACGACGGCGACGACGACGACGACGACGACGACGACGGCGGCGACGACGACGACGAGCAAGAGCGAAGAGAGAGCGAGAGCGACAGCGACAGCGAGGCCACGAAGAGCAGGAAGGGGGCCACGAAGGGCGACAGCGGGGCCACGAAGGACATGCGTATGAGGCCACGATGGGCGCGAACGAGCGGGGGCCACGAAGGGCAGATAATGCGGGGCCACAGAGGGCAACGACGGGGCCGCTAAGGGTAGCAACGGGGCCACGTAGGAAAGCGAGGGGGCCACAAGGGCGGCAGCGGGGCCACGAAGGGCATGCATATGGGGCCACGACGGGCACGAACGAGTGGGGGCCACAAAGGGCATACGTATATTGGGCCGCAAAGGGCAAAGACAGGGCCACTGAGGGCAGCAACGGGGCCACGAAGGGCAGCGAGGGGGTCACGAAGGGCGACAGCGGGGCCACGAAGCGCATGCATATGGGGCCACAACGGGCGCGAACGAGCGGGGGCCACGAAGGGCATACGTATATGGGCCCACGAACGGCAGCGAGAGGGCCACGAAGGGCTGCAACGGGGCCACGAAGAGCAGCGAGGGGGCCACGAAGGGCTGCAACGGGGCCACGAAGGGCAGCGAGGGGGCCACGAAGGGCTGCAACGGGGCCACGACGGGCAGCGAGGGGGCCACGAAGGGCTGCAACGGGTCCACGAAGGGCAGCGAAGAGGCCACGAAGAGCTGCAACGGGGCCACGAAGGGCAGCGAGATCCTGATTCCTGAATAAGCTGTGAGGGAGTCCAAAGCGTGAGCGCGACTCCTGGGGGCCTGCGTGTCGGGAGCGCGGCGCTTGAGTAAATTGCAAGGAATTCCAACGCAAGAGCGCGATTCTTGAGTAACTTGCAAGCAAGTAGCGCGCTTCCTCTGCAAAATGCGAAGAAATCTCAGACGGGAGCGGGGGTCCTGGCTAAATTGTGAGGAAGTCTCAGGCGGGATCCGTTGTTGTTGTAATCTGGGGGCCAACAACGCAGTTTGAGCCTAGTGATTGTCCCTCATGAAAGACGGGGTGCGAGCCCCGGGGGAAGCACTTCAATTGAGCATGATGGTTACCGGGGGGATCAACAATAATCAGTCTTCAGTAGTGTGAATTCAGCCGCGGCTCCCGCCGAATACTTAAGATGTATTCCCAAATCGCGCTCTCGCGCGGGACGTCCTCGCAACGTGCGCAGAGGTCGCGCTCTCGCGCGGGACTTCCTCTCACTCTGTTCCGAGGCTTCCGACAAAAAAAAACCCGACAGCCCGCGGAAGCCTCCGAACCGCCCCCCTCCCTGGGCTCCTCCCCCTCCTCCGCGAGAGGCCAACCCCCTCCGGACCTCCCCGAGGGGCGCGTCCCGGCCAGCACCCCGCGGGGAGCCCCGCCGCGGCGGCGAGCGAAGCCCCCCCCCCCTGGAGGCCCCCCGAGAAGGGCGACCCCCCCTGGAGGCCCCCCGAGAGGGGCGACCGCCCTCCAGAGGCCTCGGCCCTCGAGCCTCGGCCAACCCCCCCGCGGGCCTGCCGTCGCCGGCTTCGCCGCGTGGCACTTGCAGCACGCGGTCCTGCTGGCGAAGTTGTGCGCGCCGCAGCTCGGGCACCACCAGTCGCCGGGCAGCGCCTGCTTGCCCTTGCCTCGGGCGGGGGGGGCCGGTGCACGGTTTCGAGACGGCTTCCGGCCTGGGACGCGAACGCCCGCGGGTCGCACCAAAACCCGCCTGCTCGATCGGAGTTAGAACCTTCAGCTTCCTCGGGCTCTGAGAAAGGAGGCCTCGGGGTGCCTTCCAGCACGGAGGGAGGCGAAAGAGGGAGAAGGGCTGACGGAGGAAGAAGGGAGAATGGAGAAAGAAGAAGGAGGAGGGAGAGAGAAGGGAGGCAGGCAAGGGAAGGGAGAAAAGGGGAAGGGATCGCCACTATCACCCCCACAACCACAACCACTACAATTTTCATCACAGCCACCATCATCACCACCTATCGTCATCATCATCATCATCATCATCATCATCATCATCATCATCATCATCATTATCATCACCACCATCATCATCATCGTCGTCATGCCATCGCCATCGTCATTCATTATGTTGTTGTAGTCAGCATCATCTTCGTCATCATCATTATCATCATCAGCAGCAGCATCATCAGCATCATCAGCATCAGCATCATCATCAGCATCATAAAAATGACCATAAGCGACGTCATTACCACCCCGACAATCAACATCACCGCCATCATACCCATCATCACAACCACCGTCATTAACAGCATACCCAACATCAAGATCATCAGCATCATCATCATCGTCAGCAGCATCATCGTTCTCATCAAAATCATCCTCATCATAGTTGTGACCTAAACCATGATCGTGATCACCACGATCACCATAATCATCACCATCATCAACACCATCATCCTGACCACCTTCACCACCACCGTCATCATCATCAGAATAATCATCATGATCAACACCATCAGAGTTACTATCACCAGAATCATCAACGCCCTCATTATCATTACGACCAGATCCACCACCACCACTGCGACCATTACAAGTATCATCATCATCAACGTCATCATCAGCAGCATCACCATAAGCGTCACCAGCATCTTCATCATCAGCCGCATCATCAGCCGCATCATCAGCAGCATCATCAGCAGTACCAGCAGCATCAGCCTCAGCATCATCAGTATCACCATCAGCATCAGCATCAGCATCATCAGCATCATCATCGTATTCGCCATCCTCACCAGCAGCATCATCACCACCATCATCATCAGCATCATCAGCAGCATCATCAGCATCGTCAACAACATCGTCATCATCATTAGCAGCATCATCAGCATCATTATCAGCATCAGCCTCTTCATACATCAGCATCATCATCAGCAGCATCATCAGCATCATCAGCATCGTCGTCGTCATGCTCATGGTCGTCCTCGTGAAGAACAATCTCATCATCATCAGCGGCAGCATCATCATAATCAGCAGCAACAGCACCATCATCAGCAGCAGCAGCAACAGCACCATCATCAGCAGCAGCCTCATCGTCATCCACATCGTCCGCGTCCTGGACCACCTCATCTGCCTCCTGCTCCTCTCTGTCCTCCTCCGCCTCCTCCTCCTCCTCCTTCGCACCCTCCCCAACCCCCAGTCCGCCAACGCCCACGTATCTCCCTAATCCTCCCCCTCTCCCCGCTGCCGTACATGTATCCATCCATCGGTGAATGTCTGCCGATCCCGAATGCACGGGGCGCCTTTGACGGACGCCTGGGCCGACGTTGCCAGGTGCTGGATGAGCCAGACGGTAGGATTGTCCACCTTGGCGGCGTTCTTCTCCAGCTTGCCCAAAACGCTGATGGCGTCGTCCGCGCTCAGCTTAGCGAGCCTTGGTACTGCAAGGCTACGACCGCAACGCACCCAGCTCTGAACTCGGCGAACCTCCACTTCCTCCGCCTCCAGGTGATCGAGGTCTTCCCCCATGGTAGTCGTCCTCCTCCGCTTCGCTATCAGCCTAATCCTCAGCATCATCAGCATCAGCTTCAGCAGCATCCTCTCCATCATCATCAGAATCAAAAGCAGCAGCAGAATCTCATCATCTCCATCAGCATCAGCATCATCATCATCATCATCATCATCATCATCATCATCATCATCATCATCATCATCATCATAATCATCATCATCATCATCATCATCATCAGAAGCAGCAGCAGCAACAGCAACAGCAGCAGCACCACAACCACCACCACCGCCACATCCGTCATCGTCGTCGGCATCGTGATCGGCATATTCATATCGGCGTCGTCAGCATCATCATCAGCATCACCATCATGTGCAGCAACGTCATGATCAGCATCCGCATCAGCAGTAGCAGTTTCGTCATCGGCATAAGCGTCATCATCACTATTAGCGCCATCGGCATCATCATCATCATCATCATCATCATCATCATCATCATCATCATCATCAGCATCATCAGCATCATCATCATCATCATCATCATCATCATCATCATCATCATCATCATCCACAAGAACGGAATCGTCATCATCATCAGCAGCAGCAGCAGCGTCATCCACGTAATCATCACCATCATCCTCAGCAGCAGCAGCAGCCTAATAGTCACCATCCCCAACGCCACCATCAACATCAGCATCATCGGAATCATCGACGTTTCCATCATCCCCACCAGCATCGTCAGCATCATCAGCATCACCAACATCGTCATCGTCAACGTGAGCGTCATCATCCCTACCACCATTGGCCGAATACTTATTGATCGCAGCACCGCCAGCCACAGTACCGTCATCATTAGCACATTCATCATGACCATATCAATCATCTACATCATCAGCATTGTATCCATTGCGCGTCATCGTAATCCCTCAGCATCGTCGTCACCATACGTAAGCACCACCGTCATGACAGGCGCCATCCTCATAGCCATTGCCAACATTTGCATAAACATCATCATTACCACCATAATCGACACAACAACCCGCCTGACCATCTTGACAGTAATCACCAATGGCAAACTGCTAATCATAATCTGCATCAAATGCAGCATCATCATCATCATCAGCAGCATCATCATCCTTAGCAGCAACCTCATCATCAACATCATGCTCATCATGATCATCACCTCCAGCATCATCGTCCTCGTCATCGCCGGCGTCATCACCATTACAATGGTCATCTGCGTCAGGATCATAATCAGCATCATAAACTTCAGTCCCCTCCTCATCATCAGCAGAAGCACAATCATCATCATCAGCATTATCTTCAGAATCATCATCAGCATCATCTGCATCACCATCCTCGTCGTCGTCGCTGCTGTCATCATCATCATCATCATCATCAGCATCATCATCATCAGCTTCGTCACCGCCCACATGATCATCTTCGTAAACATGAGCATGATTATCGTCGTCAGCGTCATAATCATGATCGCCACCATCATGGTCAGTGCCGTCATATTCCTCATCCTCACCGTCAACATCATATGCATCCCATCATCATGCTCATCATCAGCACTATGACAATCACCACCAGAACCATCGGTATCATCGTCGACGTCGCCATCATCAAATGCGTCGTGCTCTTCCTCCAATCCCTTTTCCTGCCCATCCTGCGCCTGCTCCTCCTCATCCTCCTCCTCCTCATGCCCCTCATCCGCCGCCATTCGAGAGGCCTGGCAAGCTAAGGTGAAACCCGGGAAGCTCCTTGAAGGCCGTCCGACTTGAGTGTGCGCGGGGGGGCGATACAGAACTGCCAACACAGATGCCCCAGGAGCTGGCAAGTTCCTTGGAGGCTTCCTGGAAGGCGTTCATGGTGGCGTCAATGTCAACCCATCCGCAGGTGATCGTGCGTCGTGTTTTTCCCACCCTCCTCTGGTCTTGGGTCATTGTTTTGAAGAGACAGCGCCCCGCGTTCTCCTCCTCCTCCTCTCCTCTCCTCCTCCCCCTCCTCCTCCGACTCCTGCCTGTGCCCTCCAGCCAGTCAACCATTTTGGCACACCCCTCACACGTTTCGCAGCTCCATAGGAAGCCCCACCGAAGGCCCAAATGCCAGCGTTCGCATGCGGCCACCGCACCCAGTTCGGTACACCCCTCACACGTTTCGTGGCTCCATAGCGAGCCCCACCGAAGGCCCAAATGCCAGCGTTCGCATGCGGCCACCGCACCCAGGTTGGCACACACACACACACCTCACACGTTTCGTGGCTCCATAGGGGGGCCCCACCGAAGGCCCAAATGCCAGCGTTCGCACGCGGCCACCGCACCCAGTTTGGCACACCCCTCTCACGTTTCGTGGCTCCATATGGAGCCCCACCGAAGGCTCAAATGCCAGCGCTCGCATGCGGCCACCGCACCCAGTTTGGCACACCCCTCTCACGCTTCGTGGCCCCATAGCGAGCCCCACCGAAGGCCCAAATGCCAGCGTTCGCATGCGGCCACCGCACCCAGTTTGGCACACCCCTCTCACGTTTCGTGGCTCCATAGGGCGCCCCACCGAAGGCCCAAATGCCAGCGTTCGCATGCGGCCACCGCACCCATTTTCGCACATCCCTCACACGTTTCGTGGCTCCATCGGGGGCCCCACCGAAGGCCCAAATGTTAGCGCGCGCATGCGCCCACCGCACCCATTTTGGCACACCCCTCTCACGCTTCGTGGCTCCATAAGGAGCCCCACCGGAGGCCCAAATGCCAGCGTTCGCATGCGGCCACCGCACCCTGTTTGGCACACCCCTCTCACGTTTCGTGGCTCCATAGGGGGCCCCACCGAAGGCCCAAATGCCAGCCCAGCGTTCGCACGCGGCCACCGCACCCAGGTTGGCACACCCCTCTCACGTTTCGGGAGCCCCACCGAAGACCCAAATGCCAGCGTTCGCATGCGGCCACCGCACCCAGTTTGGCACACCCCTCACGCCTTTCGTGGCTCCATAAGGAGCTCCACCGAAGGCCCAAATGCCAGCGTTCGCATGCGGCCACCGCACCCAGTTTGGCACACCCACCCCTCACACGTTTCGTGGCCCCACAGAGGGCCCCACCGAAGGCAGAAATTTTCGCGCGCGCGTGCGGCCACCGCACCCAGTTTGGCACACCCCTCACACCTTTCGTGGCTCCATAGGGAGCCCCACCGAAGGCCCAAATGCCAGCGTTCGCATGCGTCCACCGCACCCAGTTTGGCACACCCCTCTCACGCTTCGTGGCTCCCTAGGGAGCCCCACCGAAGGCCCAAATACCAGCGATTGCATGGAGCCACCGCACCCATTTTGGCACACCCCTCACACGTTTCGTGGCCCCACAGAGGGAGCCACCGAAGGCTCAAATGCCAGCGCTCGCGTGCGGCCACCGCACCCATTTTGGCACACCCCTCACACGTTTGGCAGTCCCAGTGGGAGCTCCACCGAATGCGGTGCACACAACGAAGGTATTCACAGCTGCATATGGTTGGGTCCTTCGCCAGGCTAATTTCTCAAGCATGCTGCTGTGCTTTGTGCTCGAACAGCTTATGGTTGGACGTCGTGGCAGCCAAAAATGTGCGGACACGGCTTCGAAGTCCGACCCCCAATCCGATGTGTTGTTCGCCCCCGCGTTGCGACGGCATCGAAACGAGCGCGTCTGGAGGTCAAGATGTCCTCGATCTCCTTCTCGGTGCAACTGTTGTGTAAAGGTCGTCGGCTTCGCAGCCTGCCTGCGGGAAGACGTGCTGACAGAAACAGGGGCGCTCGAGGAGGAGGGGGGGAAGGAGGAGGAGGTAGAGACAGGGGGAGGAGGACAAGAGAGAGAGTTTACTCTGGCGCCCGACGGCTGGAGATGGAGGGCGACAACGAACATCTGAAAAAGCAGCATCGCTTGCAAAACGCTGAAATCCTCCAGGACTGGACTACAGCTGAAACGCTCTGGGTCGAGAAATGGAGGAGAACGACGACGACGACGGCGGCGACGACGACGACGACGACGACGACGACGACGACAACGACGACGACGACGACGACGACGACGACGACGACGACGACGACGACGACGATCCGGTGTTGCCAAAGGTGTCCCTGGCCCAAGGTGTCCTCGGGCTCTCCAGGGACGCCCCCGCTGCCCCCGGAGCATCTCACTCACGAGGCCAGGAAGGCCTCGGGTGCCCCGACATGGCGCGAAGAGCTGGGGGCACCTCGGGCCCGTGGCAACCCCCCGAGACGAGAAGGACGGGGAGGAGGAGGAGGATGGGACGCACAGACACATACTATTACTGTATCTCCTCGCTGGAGGCGCGCGTCCGACCCAAACATACAGTATACCCATCTTGTAGTACATCGTTTCCCGAGCGGTGTGGCCAGAAAGCACCCGCCACGACGCGTATGCTATAAGATTTCTCGGTGCGCGCGTCGCCCCTGGGGGGGCGACACAAATTACAGTATTAGTATGTCAGGGTGACGCCGAGGTAAGGACGAGGAACAGCCGTGGCCTCGTCGGCGGACAGCCATCCAGACCGCCGACAACTTGCTTTTGTTAACAACGCGGGCCCTCATATCTGGACGCCCGAAATGGGTACGGAAAGAGTGGGTTTGATGCACAGCAACAAATGTGGTCCAAAACCGACAACGGCCGCTGCTGGCCAGGCGAGCTGGTGTCTCAAAAGAATGACAACCCTCCTTTTCAAAACGAACAACAACTGCTGTTGAGCTCTGTACCCGATCTTTCCGTACCGATTTCGGTTCCCCCGACCAGGGGGTAGACTTAGACTTAGGTCGGGCATGTCCGCCGACGGGCGGATTTTGAACGAAAAATCAAAAATATATCACAAATGCCCAAAAAGTACTCCAAAAATAAAGGCAAATCGTCCCCTGACTAATTTTTACTATTTTTGAATACTCCTCCTGTAAAGGGACATGCCCGACGCAAGGGTAGACTTAGCCTGCTTCCCCGATGCCGGTCTCCATCCCGAGCCAGCCTCTGACGGCCCCCCGGGGGCCCGGCGAGGCCCCCCCCCGGAGGCAGGAAGAGGCCCAGAGGCCGCCCGCCGCTGCGGTTCCGTTGCGACTCGGCGGCGCCCGAGGGTTCCCCGGGACGGGGCGTTCCTGCGGCCAGGCCTGGGACAGACGAGCACCCCCCGAGGTCCGACGCTCCAGTAAAAAAATGGAAGGCGTTTTTGGGGGTCGTGTTCGGCCTCCGGGTGCCATCGCCGGCCCCGAAGACCGTGCGAAAACGGCTCAAGAAAAAACCTGGTCCTGGGGAGGCGGTCCAGGCTGCCGGGGAACGCGCATCGGAAAAAGTTGAACAGCCGGATGCCTGGGTCAAGAACACGAAGCCCTCTGGCCGCCGAAGGTGCCCTCCCGAAGGACTTACAACAGCATCCAACAAGCACGAAGAACATCAGGGTACCCTCCCCGAACAAACCTCGATCTTATACTTCGCTCAGGCCGTACTCGGGCGGACGATCACCCCTTTCTCGATCCCTCTCCTTTCGCCCGAGCCGCGTATAAGACGCGGGCGACTCGCCAACGTGTCGGAGCTCGATGGGCTCGGCGAGGACCTCAGCGCGGGTGCGCCGAAGCGGCGGGGGCGCTTCGTGACCCACGGCGCATGCGCGGACGACTGGGGGCCAGGTGGCACGTTGGGAGAAGAGCCGGGGCATGAGATCTGGGAGATCCCATGGCCCCGGCCATGAGACCCCGCCCCTCCCCCCCACACCAACACACACACACAATTCCCCCTCACCCCCTGATTTGACCGCATTTGGTCGGCGCGACAACGCCGTGTCGGGGCATCATCATCGTCATCACTGTTAACATGACCACCATGGTCATCACAATCTTTTCGCCACCACCACCACCACCACCAGCATCATTGTGATAATGATCATCACCATCACCATCATCATCCTGACCATCATCACAATTGCAAGTTGCCTGAATTCTTCCAATTGGGGAAGTTTCGCACCCGTACGCATGTGTTTATGGTGACCTGGTTGCTCATATTGTATCCGAACGTCGTGTGGTACGAATCCCAAACTGAACCTCGAGACTGGGGACCTCCTTGTCGCCATAGCTAAGGGGGGCCGATGAGTCATACTGCGATAAGTTTCTGAAGAGGCCGGTCGCGCGCGCGGGCCATTTTAACGTCGCAGCAGAAACAGTTGTACAACGCATGTTTACGTCGTGATTGGCGCCTCCGGCCCTCTCTCGGAGGGAATGTGGCGACGCGGGACAAGCTTCGAGGGGAGCGTAGTTCACGCCTCCCCCGGGGCCGTCAGCGCGCAGGGCCTCTGCGCGCAGACGGACGTTAGCACATCGGCCAAAGCTCCGAGTCCTGGGCAGGCTGTCCAGGGCGCAAGGGCTTGTAATGCGGCGGGACGCGTAGACACAGTTGCGGCACGTCTCAGGGTTGCAAGCCTTCGCGCCCCCAAGGTGCCACGCGCAAAGACGTTTTACGGCGCGCAGGACAGGGATGGCATCTACTCCTGGCCGAACCCATAAAACAAACCAAAACGGACCAACTTTACCCCACGGATACCAGCCGCGCGCGCGCCGCGCCAGGACGCTGATCACACGGCAACGAGTTGCCCACCCCCAGCGCCGGGAGTCGAGCCAGCGGTCGCCCCGGCCCTGGCGGCCGCCCAAGTCGCGCCAGTCAGACCAGCTGCAAGAGCTGGCCCTCGAGCTGCTCCACGACGACCATGGCGCGCTCTCCTCCCGGCCCGGAAGGGGCCCCTCGCCATTGGCCACCAGCCTCGCGCCACGCGACGAGAGGCGAGGAGGCTGCGGAGCGGCGGGGGCCGCCGTTGACGATGCCTTATCACGGGCAAGCAGCTCCTCCAGCGTCCGCGGGCGATCGCGACGACGCACTGGTGGAGGGCGATCGCGAGGCCCCTGCCGCGAATTCCGCTCGCCGCCCTTGCCAGAGGCGGCAGGGGGGATGCAGCGACCAGATTCCGATTGACTTCCCCTTCCAAGCCGAGGTCTCCCGAGCAGATCGCGGACGCGCCGCGGCTGGATCGGGGGCGCGCCGCCCGCCCGACAGCGCCGCCCATCGGGCTCCGACGCAGCGCCCAGAACGCGGTTCCGAGTCGCTGATGGGCCCCGCGAACTGCGTCTTGGATCCATCAGGTTCGGCTGAGGAGCGTCTGACTTCGATCGCGCCCCGAGCGCGACTAGCGCCGCGTCGACGACGCATTATGGGGAAGCGTTGCGTGGCCATGCGCCAGAGAGCAGAGATGTCGCGCGTCGGTAAATACGTCGCGGTGCCAGCGCGGCTTTCGCCTTCACGTTGCTGAAGATACTGGAGACAGTCTTCGCCCCTTGCGACGTTGCCCTTCACTAATTCCTCCACGTCGCCAGCCACGTCCGCGACGCAATCGCGAATCATGGCGGCGGCCCATGTCGCTCACGTAATCTAGCCACGCAAGATTTGTTCCATCGAAGTCTTTCACACTGCGCGGCCAGGCATAGTGCTTCGCCTGTGGGATCGCCACGCGATACGTCTGCATAGTCCACCATGCACCATGCGAGACAGACGCGGGGCCATAATCAGCAAGGAGCGGCGGGCCCGCCCAAAGCTTCTTCACCCTGGCCAGAACGTCAAATGACCGCTGCTTGGAGCCGAAGTCTGGCCCATGGCCTGTCTGAATGAACTGAGTCTCGGCCTGGATCATGGCGTTATCCTGCCGAGCGAAGTCGACCCCCCCCCAACCGCCTTGACGCGGTCAGCGCGAAGCGACCGTGCCCGATCCTGAGGACGTAGCCCAAGGCCGCGCGGGCGCGCCCGAGCACCTCGGGCACTGCCGACACAGTCGGCAGCCACACTAGGCACTGCGGGTCTGGGTCTCCCCTGTCATTTTGCTTCCTCCGCCGTAGGCGGTCTCTCCACGGGCTGTCAGCGCCCCTCGATCTCCTTGCGCATGGCACGCTTGAGTTGGCCCAGCGGGGGAATGCTGCGCACGTCTCCGCGCGCGACCCACTCGGGCCGCCCAACGGACGAATTATCCCCCTCGCGATCCTCGCGGCATTCAAGATCTCACGCGGACGCTTCCAGGACAGAGCAGTCGCCTTGGTCGCTGTCGGCGTTGATCCTCCGACTGAAGCAAAGCCACCATACTTCAATCGGCACGATCGAACCCGCCCCCGTCGCCTGCGCACCCATGAAGGCCGAGAACTCAATCCACCTCTGCGCGAGCTTCCCTGCTCTACCGAGCCCGGCCGGGCCACGCCGCGGCGGATGCGGATCCTCGGCCGACTCAGGGAGCCAGGAGAGGTGGGTCATAGCATTCGTTGTCATGCTGCCACTCCTGAACCGCCCCTTTGACACTCGCGCCCGTCATTCGCCCGACGCGGCTCTGTCGTTGCGCTTCCTGTCCGGAGCCAACGACGCAGTTGCTGGACCACGGGGCAGACTTTCAACTCTGGGTCTCCGTCAATCCGAGTTCCCGCTGCCCCTAGGGGCGGCTTTGCGCCGCGCGGCGGGGCGACCTCAGCACCGTAGGCGACCTTCAGTCGGCAGCGGGAGCAATGGACCCTGCCCAGTCTGTTGCGGCGCCCCGCAGCGCAAATCACAAAGACTCATCTTGTGTTTGAACTCCGTCGTAAGCCTGTCTTCCTCGTCATCTGCCGCGCATGACCCAGTCGAGGCGCGCCGACTCGGGCTCGGGGGCGAGGGCGCCACCGCAATGTCGCCGATCAATCGCCAGCGCCCACGATATCTTCTGCGCTCCATTCCCACCGGCGATCACCGCAAAGGCCCCATGACCCGCGGACCACAAGAAAATAAGTGCTCAAGCCCCCGCCGGGCAGGACCCAGAAGTGGCGCCCCTCGACAAAGCGGGCAGCAAAGGTCACTGCGAATTGTCCGCCGAGCCTCTTCGGACCCTCGAGGTCACCAGTAAAATCCAGCGCCCGCCCATCAGGGCGCCGCCGCTGCAGCGGACCCCGCGGACCCCGAGGCGTTCGCCGCGGTCGTTCTGGTCGACGAGCCCGACGCCACCATGGATGCCTGGGTCAACCTGGGAGGCCCCGTCGAGACAGTCGCCGGCAACTTCTTTGTCAGCGCGCCTCTTGGAGAGAGATTGAAGTGGCGGCACTGCGGCGCCACCCCCACGTCTCGCCCTGGCAGCGCGAACGCGCCGCCCACTGACTGGACTGCGGCGGACTCATCAAGCAAAGCAATGAGAGACACGCGCATCTCGCGGCACCTGGGCTCGCCACGCACGCGCGGCCTCTCGGGATGCACGACTCGGATGGAATGTCACTTGCACGCTCGAACGCAGGGCGGCCCCACTGCGGGTGGCCCGCCATCACCGCCGCCGCCAACATTGATGCCCATCGGCAGCTCGCGCCCGAGGCAATCCTCCCACAACGCGGGCTGGGATGCGGGGTTATCCTCGCCGCCTGATCGCCACCCCCAAGACATGGACTGCTCTCCTCGGCAGGGTGGCCACGGCGCGCACGAGGCGCGCCCAGGCCAGGCCAAACCCCGCAAAACTGATCTGGCTGACCAGCCCCCTGATCTCCACCCAGCCAACTGAGTGGGCAACTTGGAGGGAGCTGCGCCTCAATTAACTCAGGATAAAACTAGCCAGTCTCGACAGCTCTTCCGTCGACGCACCACTGATGCGAGCAAACTCGCTGCGTTCCGAAGTCGAGCAAGACGGGCGCGAGGCAGCGCGCTGCCCTGGGGAGGCCGCTCCTTTCGACGGCACTGCACCTCGCCTGGAGATAGCGGCCAGCCCCCAATTCGCTCGTCAATCGACAGGCCGCGTGGGCACTCGAAAAGGGCGTCGCCCAATGTGCCCGCTGCAGCTGGACAGCCCTCCGCCGGCCCGCTCGCGGAGAGGGGCCTGCGCCGCGCGCAGGTTCGCATACTCGCGCCAATCAAAGTCGACGCGGCGCAAGCAGTCAGAATGGCTTCCCTCGCCCGAGGACAACTGGCCGATCGTGCTAACCTCGGCGCGCGCGAGTCGCGCGCGGCGCCATCGTGCTCGCCCAGCCCCCATGAACCCCGGCTGAAGCTGCACCACCTTTGGCGGCGGCGGCGCCACCGCCGAATCGAGGCATAGCCGGGGGATGTCGCAGCGAATGTTGACGGGGATGGGTTCGAGCTCGATCAGGGCCGAGAGGTGGGTGGCCCTTTGCTTGATCGTCTTCTTTGACTCCGGGGCCACTGACATCGTCGGCCTTGCCCGCTCTGCCTTCTCAGCCTCATTATCCTGTTCGTTCGCTTCTACCTCCGCGCCCTCGGCCCCCCGATCGGCCCCCGCGGCCTTCGCGCCGCGCACTTCCTCCTTATCTTTATTATTGCCCACCTCCTCGTCGGAGCATAAAAGGCTCGCCGCGGCCTCTGCCCCCCCCGGCGCCGCCCGCGGAACCGCCGCCCCCGTCGCGCCCGGCGCCGCTAGCAGCTAGAGCGCTTTCACGATTCGCGGCCGGGGGCTCGACATCCCCCACCCCTGTGGATTTCACGATTCGCGGCCGGGGGCTCGACATCCCCCACCCCTGTGGATGACTGACCTGGGGCTCGAGCCAATTCTCGCGCGGGATCGCC